GCATTTAGTGGCCGTGAAAAATTCGACAATTCATTTTCTTTCAAAATTCTTGGTATAGTTTGATAGCAAGTTCCATAAGCTTTAATTTGATATAGGGGTTTAGGTATCTACAGCTCAAACTGCACGCGCTACATAGCCTGCGCGCGAGACACCCCTGAAGGTATACTGTAACCTTAAACTTGATGAATAATTAATGAGTTTGAGAGATAGATTTCCAGTGATTCTAGGTTTTTGTCCCTGCAGGAGTTTAAAGATCCACCAGGTGCACCTGACTTTGTTCAAATAATGTCGACTGAGCGCTGTGCAGAGTTAATGGCAGTAAGCGTGGCAAACAACTTGGACGAAGTGTGGATTTCAAGTGAACCAGCCCTAGTAATGGTCTATTTTAAGCAGTACTTGCCAAACCTCTTTAGATGGTACGTGTTGCTCAAAGTGACAAGTTGTTTTTGTGATGATAGAGCAGTGTTCAATCGAGTGTCGAAAGAAATCAGGCAATTACTTTGGCTTTGACTAAATTGGTTTTGGTTTTACTACAGTTTGAGATTGGCTGAAGTCTATTTGGTTAGTAATTGGTTTGGTTTGAAATTGAAAACTGCTCTATATAAGAAACAAGATACCGAAGCAGAGTCAGTGTCTTAGCGGTCACAAGCTGTCGACGCTGTCACAGCAGGAATCTATTTTTCACGTGAGCTTGGGTGGGCCAAGTCATGTGTCAAAACGTCACTGTCTTGGGCCGAAAGTTCAAATCTACGGTCTCGATTGAGTGTCGGGGACTGGCACAGAATTTCCAGGGCCTCACGAATTCTCCTCTCCTGAAGTTGTTAGAATGTTCCTTTAACCGAACGTTTATGGGTCGGAAGGTTTCTCCAATAAAGGTCTTTTCACAGCCAGCACACTCTAATTTTTATATGATGCCACACTTCTTTCCGTCGATTGTGGGATCTTTAACTTAACTGTTGTTATGATCAAACATTTGTCTTAAATGACAAAAATACTAGTAGACACTTCTTGTTCGTAAGTGTTATTTGACCCCACAAAGATCCCATTCACAAATTTCACACAAATTAACGCATTGTCATTGATTTCATCTATGAAGAAATTTGAAAAATCTCATATCCCATCGATATAAACCACCATTGCATGCAACCATAAAAGATATTTTGATTGGTAAGAACATTGATGTTCTTTTCTGAGCACTGTGAATGATTAGAGGATGCTAGGAGACAGGAAGTTTCTCCTCAATTGGTGACAAATATTTCAAGTGTAAGTGCCGGGAACGAGTATAAAATATTTTTCAACACTCGAGGGGAAGTTTCGAATCTCCAAGCGGCCATGTAATGTTCAATTTGTTATTTAAACACCAACGAAATACCAAACCATTTCGGCTCCTTCTATTCTTGGTGTAGAAGACATAGAGTGACATCAAAAAAGCACGCCGGCCTACAAACCATTTGTCTTCATCGTTTTCTCGTTTGTATGTTCTCTGTAGTTAGTACGTCAGCCTTGTCTTCTACACCAAGCAAGAGGCACCATTTCACTTTCGCTGCGAAAGGTGCGGTTTATTATGTAACCATAGCAACGGTCATCTTTTCAACTGTGAAGATAACGTTATTTAACGAATTAAGATATCGTTTCCGCGAGAAAGCTCACTTGGTATTTCATTGACAAGTGTTTATATAATCAAAATCCCCGATTTACACCCCTTAACGACCCCGCCCCTGTAACAGCGGAGTGACCCCACCTCCCTCTCCCCATTTTCCATCCCCGGTTTAGGCCACTTTACCTTGATTTTAGCGTTGTGGAATTTCTATCAAAACCTCTTTTAAATGTCGTCTATCTCCAGGCTTTCTAAGATGTTCTTTTTGGAAGGCGTAAAAAGACTTTACACGGACAAGAATTAGAAATCTTCAGCAGAAACCAACGAGTCATAGAGTTTGGAAAATGGAATGTAGAACAGTCTTGAAAAGTAATATTGTACCTCCCGTTCCCTTTTGTATGTGACTCCGCCACTCAGCAGCCCCACATGTACAACTTTTTGATATGCAACATAATAAGTCCAGTTTTGCAAAGCGTGGATAATGCTATCCATCAGATAAATCACTATTTGAAGACATGATTGTTCATCGAAGTTATGCACACAACTTAAGTAACTGTAAAATTAAAGCCTGGAAAAACTTCGGGCCTGAACGGGATTCGAACCCATACCGGTGCTGTGCTCTACCGACTGAGCTATCACTAAAGCCATCTCGGAGCTGGTCATATTGTGAGTTCGTAATATACCCGTAGATGGTGAAGAATACAAGTGAATATATGAAATATCATATATTTGAACTGCGGAGAAAGATATGAAGATATGATTGATTATCGCAGTTATGCACACAGCGTAAGTAATTGTGTAATTAAAACCTGAAAACAATTCAGGCCTGAATTTTTCTCAGGCTTTAATTTTACAAGTTTAACCATTTCTTAGTGCTTCTTTTATTTGGTTGTTTTTTGCAAATTGGCACTTTTCACATTTTTAGGCTTTGATCAATTTTTTATAGATCTGTTTGAGGTTTTTTTTACTCTTAATCATTTCAAGGTCAAATCTAAACAATTTCTCCGCTGAATTGCTACTGATTCACAACTTCACAACACAGTCGGATCCAGGGGAGGGGTTGAGGGGCTTACAACCTCTCTCCTCTTTTTTGAGTAGCATTTTTTTACTTCTTCGAGTTTTCGTAAATATAATAGAATAAAATTGTTTTACACGTAGTTGTTTCAGTTTCACTAATTGACTGACTGACTGTCAAGTTAGGAAAAGATAATGAACACTTGAAAACTGCATTAAAATTTTTGTTTTTTCTGGTTGAAGAAGTAAGGAAAACTCCAGATTTTATACCATACACACACAAACTCTTTTCAAGTGTCAGGAACACTGGCAATGGCGTTTAAGAAGACAAAATCGGAAAAAAAATTCGGGTAGGGATGACCCCGGAGTCCCCTCGAAGCTAGTACCTGCGGCACTCGCCATCCATGCAGATGGCGTCGTGGATCATTAATTTGTAAAAAAAAATGCAAAAATTAATCAGAAGATCTTGATGTTCGCGGTCAGCAGTTCGCGCCGAGAGATACTAGGGAGTTTAAGAACGGCAACGTCTCTTTGATTCTAGATATGATTTCTTTGCCGTCCTCTGCAAAACAACAACGTGAAATGACGAAATTCTGCGTTGTCTGGAGAACGTGAACCACGACGGCTAATTTTCTATTTCAAATTTACCGCTGTGTACCAGACGTTGTGATGGTGATAAAAAAGAATTAAATGAATTTAGAGTACCGCGAAATTCGTAGGTAAAATATAAATTATTTTTTTAATCGACGTTGTCTTCGGCGCTACTTAGACCCCCTTCTTATGAACGACCGAGTACCTAATGAGAGACTGGGAACCAGTAGGTTAAATCACGTTTTTCTCAAAACATATTTTTCTCATGTAAATGTATGACCCCACCTCAAAATTTCAGGAACAAGAAATTGGCTCTGATTTAATATTCTTGCAAAGTAAAATTAAAATCTGTAAGACATATTTTGAACTATTTTTTATTTTACATTTTCTTAGTTTGCGAAAAATCTGTCTTACAGATTTTTATTTTACTTTGCATGAATGTTAAATCAGAGCCAATTTCTTATTCCTGAAATTTTGAGGTGGGGTCATTCGGGTAGATTCTGAGAAAAACGTGATTTAACCTACTCGTGCCCAGTCTCTCCTTAGGTACTCGGTCGTTCATTTTGACCATTTGTTGACGTTTAATTGTTCAAGTTTCACATAGAACGGTAAAAGACATAAGTAAACAGTAAATAGAGAAAGGGAAAACATCTTGGAACATTTTGAGACCAAACACGACCAGCAAAGATATAGCATTTCATTTGGACCCCGCTAAATCAAACTCGGTTATTTCGAACTCAAAACCATTTCCCTTGGATCTGCCCTTCAGTCATTTACTATCGGTTATTTCGAACTACCGCTATTTCGAACTATTTTTCGTTTCCCATGAGAGTTCGACTAATTAAACTAATTCAAGGACGCCCTTGTACCCAGCGTCTTCGTTCCCTTTTCTTTTAATGGATCATATTCTCTACCGATTTTCTACGTTAAGCGAAAAAATGAAGAAAATCTGTCGACTAGAAGTTTGAATTTTTTGCAAAATGCACCATCGAATTCCGTTCTTTTTAACTCTTCGTTTATCTTTGCGATGGTTTCAAATGCCTCTTGAAGGGATTGGTTTTGTGAAAACGTTGGTAACATTTGGAATTATTTACGCAACAGACCTACTCCTGCAAAATACGACTAAGGTCGTTTTCCTCCGTCGACTCACCTTCCATATTTTAACTTTAAACCCCTGTAGACCATGCTGAATTACTTGCGCCAATTTTTCAAAATCGAGTTAGTTTTCCACACGCTTTATCTCTGAAACGAAGTCGATGACCACCAATATTTTGTATTTCTGACACAAGTGACTCATTATCTGACTGCAGTAAAAATTAAAAAAAAGATCTATCGGCTGGAAAATTTTCGCGCGAACGGAGCGAAGTGGCAAAATCAGATAAACCCCTCCCATACCAGTAGCGGCTGAGGGAATATCTAAACACAAATTTCTCAAATCATGAAAAATAAATCAAAAATTAAATTCCGCAGGTTTATCGATTATGGCTTCTTTGTGATGTAACACTTTTAGGTAAAAATTCCATGTCTACTGTTCTTTCGTTCCTTGGTCCTTGGTCTCGATTCCTATTCCATAAAGTTTTTGCTCCAGCCCCGATTGGTCACGTGTCTTCTAACATAAGTGGTCATAAGTTGCAAAGGTAACGAGTTGCAAACCCATCCGATCGAGGTCATCGCAATCGGAGGTCATCGTAATGCGCCGAAACTTCTTGATCGCTGCAGTTCTTGTTCCTCTTGTTTGTTTCTTACTTTTCAAATTCCAAGATGGTGATTTTATATTGATGATTTATGAGAGGATTGGTCAAGATCCAGCGGTTGCCTTGCGCGGGAAAGTGGTCTGGATTACTGGCGCTTCGAGCGGTATCGGTGAATATTTGGCTTATGAACTAGTCAAATATGGCTGCAAATTAGTACTGTCTGCGAGAAGGAAGGCAGAATTAGAGAGAGTCAAGAAGAATTGTGCAGGTGGGTTGAATTAAGATAAAATAACTTGGGCAAAATAGGTTTGCATAAATTAAGTACGTCGTACTATTTTAATGGTAAGCTTTTGAGATCGCCTTAAAGCTCCGGGCCTTTGAAAATTTTACCACGGCCAGAGGACGGACACTTGCCCAGCCCCGGACTCTCTGGCGCAATCTCTGCCCAAACAAACGATAGCTCCCCGATTTATTGTCTAGAGCTGAGCTGTAGAACAGCTTGCCATCTGATTCGCGACAAGCAAACTCCCTGACGGGGGTGCTCGTCGGAATTTTTTTGTCCCCTACAAAGAGGTACCAATTCTTACATAACACATTATCTCCTGCCACATTTTCCCGGCTCAGTACCCTTAAAGGTACTACAAAAACTCCCGCTGTGGACCTTTTGAGGCTAAGCATCCTAAGAGGGACCAAAACCACGTTTTTAACCCCAAAAAGGTACGAGGAGACTCCCCATCCTTTTTATTTGGGAGTTTCCCCCCCCCCCC